TTCGTATTCAAAATTGAATAAAATCACAAACCAAAACAAAAACCTACTATTTTTTCACACAATCGACTTGATTGGTTATCAATAATACGGTTTCTTTAATCAGTAATGAATCATGTAAAAAATCAGTGTATTATAAAAAACTCTGCAAACGTTAAATAAATGGAAAACCCGTAAACCCACGAAAAGGTGGATGAAAAAGTGTATGAATATGAATGTCAAATTAACGAGAAAAATATGATTTTTTTTTAGTGTAATTTGTTTCGTTCGAATGTTGATCATATTTTCGACTTAAAAATAGGGGGCGAGAGATTTCTTTAATTTAAAAATAAATTTATAATTGTCTCTTTAATCACATTATTTGGATCAATTAATTTAAGAGTTGATGGAATGTTTTTCGATTTTTCGTTTTTCTTTTGGGTTTTCCAGTGAACCTCCATCATCTATATATAAAGAAAGTTGGGTTCGATGAGAATGAAAGTTATGGTAAGACAACATATTCATCCTTGGATCAATTTTAATTGAAGATCAACAATGATAAGATGCACCAAATCAATTCTCGTATCAACAATGATATACGTACAATGACGTGAAATATTCTCAAAGCTAAAAAGTGTTTTTATCTTTTTTCTCCTTTTCTCAAGCTTCTCTTAGCACAATATTTATTTTTGATTAATGATATTCACATTTAATACCCTTTCATTAAGTTATTTCAACATACTCATGGACTCTCTAATAACAGCTTTTCATTTCCTCCTTATGGTATACCTCTATGATAATTGCACAAGCATATAAATGCACGTAAACATGAATTAAATAAATTTAAAATAAAGGAAAATCTAATATATCTTAATTTCATTAGTGAGACGTTTGATTTTGTGTCCCTCAGTGTCCTATTATTCAGCATTGCAAGCACCGACACACGCTGCTTTGGAGATAATGTGGATGCAATCGAGATAAACAGTCCTTAGAAAGATCTGATTCAGACAGATAGACAAATACTTGAACAGTACACTGTTAAGTTAATTACTTCATTGAAGTTGAAAATATATGCTCACCCCTTCCCTTCAGGAAAGAAAGAAAAACAAACTTCTGTAGAAAGAAAGAAACCAAAACACACATAAACCTACAAAGCCTGAGAAAGATACAACACGCAATGCGAATGAAGAAACATACTCATTTGGCCTCAAAACCACCACTGCACCACTGGGTAATGCATAAGAACCATCACTAACATAGTTTTCGGAATGCCAGTCGGAGGTTTCACTCTCTTGATATCAAAATTAGGATCATCGTTTGTGGGGCAATGCTGAATAAAACGTCCTGGTAAAGGGGATTATATAAATTAAATGGTTACTTATAAGTTTCTCAGTTCAAAAATGACAGACTGATCTATCTCCGGCTTTTGCTAATTTCCTAATAGAGTAAGCAGCAGCAAATCAAGACCAATGAATCTACCTGGGGTTTTGCATCTGTGGCATACATAGCCTGGAGGTGGTGTTTTTTTCTACAAAGCCGCCACCCCAACCTAAATATTCAAAAGTGAGATTCAGTTTTCAAAAGCACAATTGCAACATAAGCATGAATATAACAGAGACATTAGATTTTAATTTGCTTTTAGATTTAAACAGTAACAGGTATTCTATTTCTACGTTCTTTCGTACTGTTTTTATTTTACAACAATTCTTAGTTGATGGAGCAAAGCAAGTACATTCTCTCCTTCATGTGTCAAGTCTGTGATTAACATACCATCTCACCTCACAATGGAGAATGAGACCAGATGTATAACATATACATTAGTACGTTACTAAATGGTTGAATCAGCTATATATCAAGAAAATAGGAAAGCAAAAAGATAGTTACCAAAAGCACGCCACGCCCAAAGCCTTCAAAATTTTGGCTGCATGTTAAGAAGCCATCATAAATCCCCCACATGAAAACAAATAATCACAAGAAAGGAGGCTAAAACTCAGAGGGAGATCTCACTGCTGCCAATCCAAGGCTGGTGTATCAATTAAGGCCTGAATTTTGCTGTCTTCGTCAGCTTTACCAGGCGCAGGAGCATCCTGAAGTTGATTGCAAGATGCAATTGGCACAACTTCAGGAATTTCGTACAAGTCGTTTCCAAATTCATCGTAATCTGAACCATCAAGCTGTAAAACCCCAAAAAAGTTCATGCATTATCGTCCCTAGGTGCTGAGTGTGTAATCCTGATACATTACAACCAAGTTCCTAAAACATTATAGCTAGACAAACCTTATCTAGTTGGGAAAGTTACTCTTTGCTAATTGCACACTCTCCCGCTCATTAACCATGGTTAGCCTGCAGTGCAAATCACAAACAACTCAACTAATGCCCTAGCACTCGACTCGCATAAAAATTTAATATTAGCAAGACGATTACCATTAGCTTTTGGAGATGATGATGCATCTTTCGGTTCTTCCATTTCTGATATCAACTCTGGTTCTCCAGTAGGCTCGGTACCACTACCATTGCAGTACAAAAAATGGAACCTCTTGTTTCTAGGATTATTTTTGGAATAGAATATCAGATTGCTGGAAAACAAAGGTGCAACCTGATCTTCCACCCCAAAATCATCATATGGCAGAAAAAAGTCATCTGTTTCAACACTGGTGCAAACTTCAGTAGAATGTAAGGATTTTGTAAACGGTTGCAGAGACTCACCTGCACATGGAGCGGTGGTGGTTGTTGGTGGTGTCGGTTTCTGAATCCTGGCACTCTGGTTCTGAAGAACAACAGAAAAAGAATATAAATTACAAAACAACATAAATAAATGAATGAATTCATGATTGTAGCCATGTAAGTTGCAAAGGAACACGGAAGAAAGATAAAACTGCTGAGAAACATGCACATTCATGTGTGAATAGAGATATCAAAACAACCTTAAATTCAGCATTTAATGATTTATGGTTCCAAGATATGGTTCAAATTAGTTATGCATCTCCAAGAACCAGAAACTTAAATAGCGAAAGAACCATATGTCGCAATTCAGGCATCTCATACAACATGCAAAACATCTAAATATATAGCTGACATAGATAGACAAATGATCAAGAAAAAAGACATTTAATGCACCAGA